GGGGGGGGGGGGGGGGGAAGAAGGGTTGGAGAAGAAAGAAAAAAAATGAAAATCCCATCTAGACTATGTTAGTGGTAATGCCACAGGAGTCGGGCATTTCTGATGTGTTTGAGGGAGTCGAATATCCCATGTTTTCTGTGCTTTGAATTTGTGTGTTTTATCTAAATCATCTAGTCAAAGTATCAGGATAACATATTTCATGTGACGTCAATTTCTATCAGAAAAAGGAGCTTAACACCGCCACGTTACAAGGAAGGAGTCGGGTAACCAGAGAATCACGGGTCGGGATTTGATGTAGTCTCGACTCCGGTCTCCTGGCTAATTGCACATCGCAGCCGTTAGAGGAAGCATCGGTCCCATAATGACATTTATGGCTAAAGTAATTTATCAAAAGCCGTGGGCTTAATTCACTGGTGTTATTTTTGCAAATATCAATTACCAGATGCATTATCTGGTTTCTCTAAATACATTTCGCGGCCCCAGGAATAGTGCGGTGGGGGGATATCAGTCAGAGCTGGGTCCACGGGGGTGCTGTGACCTGGGTCCGGTGTTGACATTAAGATAATCCTGTTGAAAATATCCTGGACCTAATCTGCAGTACTGCTGCAAGCTGGCCGGTGGAAAGTACGAGATTTTTCTCTCTGTGGTAGGCATGGGCAAGGAGATCATTAAAATTTAGTCACTCGATGGAATCATTTAGTCAGTAAAGGTCTTTAGGTCACTCACAATATTATAATAATAATGATCTCACTGTTAATGAAAACCTACGACGGTAATTGTTACTACTTTGGCCTAACTGAATCTCACTATTATGGAGACTAGTTCTTTGAACATCGAATTTATTGTGGCCAAGTTTGAATTGGAGACAACAACGGTACAAGTGCCAACATTATTTTGTCGACTATTCTCACATTATTTGACATATAGCTATCTAATTATGAGTTAGGGTTTATACGGTACTAATTCATTTCTCCACTGAAAGTAGCTTACTGATTGTTAACTGAGGAGAAGTGCATGCCTTATCTCAAGTGATGGAATGGAAAGAACAAAATATGGCATGAGGGGGCAAAGGTCACCAATAAAATAGTAGTTACCGTGTATACTCGCATATAAGACGAATTTAGAACTATAAAATAAAATACTGAAATCAGGGGGGTCGGCTTATTATATGCGCATAACAAAAAATGGACACGAGGACGGACACTCATGCCAATTTTCCAGCCACACATTTTCATCGCTATCCGATCTTTATTTGGTTGTGTGTACAGAGGACTAATATATGTATACAGATATATTATAGCAAACAATGTGGAAAGAGCAGAACACATTTTTGTGTCATTCCAAAAGGTAAACAAACTGGTATGTAACATAAAAGTGAGCATTTTACATCTTTACAGTAACACATTTCTATGAACCAAAAATATGGAGTAAAATTAGACAATTGTATGGTCGGCTTATATGGGGATTTTCTCAAAAACTAGCCATTTTAAAGCAGTTTTAAGGGGTCGGCTTAAATGCGAGTATAAACGGTTATTAAAAACGTAATAGTACATTTGAGAAACACCACAGTTCATCTATCGAATCCTATCCAATCTCTCGGTCATCTTGACCAAGTCTTGCCAATGGATCAATGAGAGGTGAGGCTGACTAATTGCACTACTCTCCTTCACTTAAAAAAAATACTGGGCAAGTCAAGGCCCCTGCTCAACTGGAATATCGCCTTGGTCATCTTCACACAAAGGGGGAACAATTGGTACATTTGAGAACAAACGCCAAAGTAGGTTTAAATGTATGTATTTCTATGAACACAGGAAGGCATTATATTACAATGAACAAACCATCAAAAATTTAGTTGACTTAAATAGCTATGTACATCAATGACATCTGCAGTTGAAAAACAGGAGAGCAGATACATGAAATGAAAAATAGACTTGCACTTAAGAAAGATATAACTGTAAAAGAATAAAATTTTACAATTCCCTTTTGCCAGTTTGAATTATTATTAGTAAGCAGCTTTATTTAGCGATACCATTATTCATTTGAAAAATGAATATGATAATTAGTTGACATTCTTTCTTACACTTACATGCAATAATTCATTCATTATTTAAATCATCATTCTGATCCAATGACCATTTTTGCATGCATTTTTTAGTCAGAGGTCATGGTGTTTTCAGTCAGAGGTCATGGTGTCATATTTGCAAGTTTTCCTCATTGCTAGCATAATATTTTAATATACATGTGCAAATTTTGCTGACCACCTTAGTAAAACTTTCATTTTATTAGCTCCCTTAGAAATGTGTTTTTTCAATTCAAATTGAATGGATTTATTTTTTAAAAGCTTTTTATGAACGATAAAACAAGTTAGACCATAGTCTCAACAATTGTTTTAGTTTTAACAACATCGCAAGCTTACTAAGTAAAATTATGATGAATTCAAAAACTATGGTCACTAAACAAAACTCTTCAGCCACTTGAAAATTGGAAAAATGATAGAGAATCGTTTTATTAACTGTTTAGCATCATCGGATTTTGATTTCCAACAACGTAGATGTTGGCAAACTTGAGACCCCTCCAGTTTTGAATTACTAGTCCATAGTGTATTTACAATGTGTGCTAACCAACCCCATGGCCAATCTATGCATGTCCATCCAATATACAGAATGGGTTCCAGTCTTATATCATTGAAAACTCTCTGTTGCACTGAGAAGGAACAGCTGATCATTTTATTCTAGAAATTCCCCTTATTACTAATATTTACAAGAGCTAAGGAGTAAACTTTAAATTGACGGGCGTAACTCTGTCAAAAGCTCTCGGTGCTCCTGCATTGAACTGATCCGTCGGTGCTATACTGTCCATGCTATCGTCTATACTCATGCCTCCTGGGGTTATGGGGACATCGTGAAGGCGCCTGGTTTGTATTGTTCTCAGCAGACCTTTAGCCTCTTCTCTCGTCTATGATAAATTAGAATGATTTAGGTTTTAGATAATCCACTGAAAACATAGGAACATCGAGAGCAGGAATGTGTTCAGGCAATTATAAGGGAAATTTGGAAAAAAGATCTTACATTAGGTGGTCTATAAAAAATGTACATGGGAATAAATATTTGTACATACTACTATTTAAGGTAATGGCTGAATGAGTTAAAAGTACTAGTGAACAACTTCTAATCAAGAGCTTCATTCTGTTTGAATTTTTTAATAGAAAAATCATTTCAAAACATAATATATGTGTATCTGCTAAAATGCCATACACACAGGAATTGGAGAAATGTATATATTTATCTCAAGAAAATGATGTCAACAGCATTGATGCTAATTAAATGCACATCCCTAATGGTGAAAAGGTAGTAGTACCTCAGTAAACTCTGTACATTTTTGTGCTGCTGTGTAAGCCTCATCCCAGTTCTTGTGATCTATGTAGTAGTTGGCTAGATACAGGTAGGCTCTACTTAAGTCTTCATGGTTGTGAATCTAAGATGAACAATTCAAGCACTTATTTAAAGGGAGTTATTCAAAGGAGAAACCTTTTCACTATTGACTTTAATTCGTATATGTTTTATATTTAAAAGACCTTCATTCATGAAATAATAATAATAAATAATTATTAAGTTTATTTCGAAAACACGCTTCATCCCAATTTAAGGCTTGAAGCACGGTACATAGTCAATAGAAATTAAGAGATTAAAAAAAAACAAAACTTTTTCAATTTATTTAAAACACATGCTTTAAAAAAGAAAGATGTTTGGTCGTATGGATGAGCAAGCGGCTTTAACAACCTTTAACAAAAGAATCTATATTAAAGATGACCGTTGCAGCTTAACATCCCTATTATCAATTCATTGTAAGTTTAAAAAAAAAAAACAGTAATTTTTTGTACAAATTTGATCTGCATATTTAGAGCTGAAGGTAAAATAACTGGTCATATACATGTTAGAAACACTATCATACCAGCATCCTGTCAGCTTGGTTGATGTATTCTGTATATGCCTGACGTGCTTGCTCCTTTTCACCTAGTGTTGCATACAGGCTGGGGGGGGGGGGGGGGGGTGGGTTAAAATTTTTTTTATAAACATATTTAAGACTAATGTTTTTTTATGTCATGAAGGAAGTATTAAAATTAAACATAAATAAATAAATTAATCTCAACCTAGCATGACATTTATGCCACCAAATAATGTTATTGAAATCAAGAGAGTAAAGCAAATGATAGATAAAGTAGAAGCTTGTGTATACAAACTGGCTGGTAGTTTTTATATTGATTTAAAGTTTTAAAAAACAAAAAACAAAAAAAAAAACAGTTAATGAGCCTTAACGGCAACAAACACAAACAAAATTTGAAAAGGAAACAGGTGTGTGGCCATAATTTATGAGATACAACTGAAAAAAGGGTTGGTGGGGTGTGAATTTTATTATTAGTTTCACACATCGGGCAGGTTACAAAGGCCAATTGCACAAACAATTTTTTAAGAAAAACCATTTACTTAACAGCATAATACAAAGAATAAATGGCTTGTAAACTTGGGGCACATTAATATATACTTGTGTATCATTTATTTCGTTTTGTTTTTAAAGAAAAAAATTAACAGCCAAAAAATAGTATTTATGAATAGAAAGTGCAGTAAAAGGATATTATTTTACTGACTTGGCTAACTTGAACAATGCAATTTCCTCTGCATCACCAAGGCAATGGGCCTTCCAGAAACACTTTTTGGCTTCCTGGAGTCTTTCTACTTTTTGGTAACATTCACCAAGAGCTATAACCATTCTTGAGTCATTTGGTCTGAAATGAGAATTTAGAGAATAAAAGGGGAGAAAATAAGTATTTCGCCAGAAGAAATGACAAGCAAATAATCTTATTTCACAGCAGGGTAACATTTGGTTTCATTTGATGAAACGTTAAAAATTTATTTTGCTTACTTTAAAGTCTGTGCTTTTCTGTAATAGTATAAAGAATATGAAGGCATCTTAAGTATTTCGTAAGTCTGTCCAAGACCATACCAAGCTCTGTAGTCTCGCTTATCTACCTCTGAACAGTAAAAAATAATGATCCCTTAGATTACATGAAAAAATGTCAAAGCAATTTCTTTTTGCATGAACTTTTAGTCAACAAAAGCTTTTCAAATAAAATAATCTCCCTCATGACTGAGATAATATTTCAACATTTATGGTGTGACATAGTTTTAATCAAACCCATTCATTCTAGCATCTGTTTTATCATAAAAAATGAAATATTAATTTTTATGAATTTATCCAGGTAATGACATTTCTTCTTTAAAAAAAACAAACAACTAAATGATATAACATTATACCAACAAAGGAATACACTGATAACTACAATCAATAATTTTAATAACAAAAGGCAAATACCTATAGATCTACGATAGGCTTGTATAGCAGCTGAAGTATTTTTCATCTCCATGTACTCATGACCCATTAAGGTCCAGGCTGAGATGTAGTTGGAGTTGAGCTTCAAAGCCCTCTGAAAGTAGAGAATTGACTTCTCATGTTGTGAACGCAGAGAGTAATAATTTCCTGTTGAGAAAAAAATAAAAATATTAAAAAAAAAAAAAAAACATTTCACCAGAAAAAAGAAAGAAAAATACACTGGTAATGCTAAACTATGCTGAGATATTGATAACATGTTATAATCATGCGTTTAATTCAATTTAGCGAATTTGAAAGCGATTATTGAGTCATTTTGGTGGCTAGCCCAAAATTAAGTTGTAAAAGCAAACTGAACAGCAAAATTTTGTGCTTCATTCTAGCAGAAGGTTAAAGAAATTTCATTAATAATTTATAAAACTTATCCTACCTATAACACAGCATGTTTCCACACAGTATTTATTGACAGTGCAGCATTTGTGAGCAAGATGTGCCAGCTCACTTTTTTTCTCCTGAAAATATTAAAACAATCAAAAGTTCAAAAGGATCTTAGCATATTGCTATAAAAATATTTTCATGATGTCAAATGCAGATCTGTATGTCATAGATTTAATTGTATAAAAACTTTGCTTACTTTTACATACAGCAAATTAGAGTAAATATCCATATTCTCTATCCTATATGGGTCCATTACTTCCAAAGATTTAAATGTCTGAACAGCCAAATCAACATCTGTCGACAGATTCAAAAAGCAACAACAAATTAGCTAGTATATAATAAAAGTTGCTATTGTAACATGTCATATAAAATATACAAACTATCTGATCAAGTTATTTAAACAATTATAAATGTCTTATTAGTTAATAAAATTATTTCAAAAGTTGATGAGCTAGCTACTTGTAAATAAAATCTCAGGTGCTCTAAATGCATAACATTCATTGAGGGGTTACGCATAACAAAACTTAAGAGCAAACAAAAATTTGTTACTGTCTAAAATTAACTCTTAGTTAACCAGAGTATATGATGAGGATCGTACATATTTGTAATCAATCATCCTCTGCTATCTATTAAAACCACTTTAGAAATGGTCAATGTCTGGAATTTAGCAGTTTTTACCTCTCATATCATGATATGTCACAGCTACTTGAGCCACTATATACGAACTTTCCCCAAAGCCCCGGTCCATAAAAGTTCTGTAAATGGAAAGAGCATCCTCATGCAGTTGAAGCTCCATGTAAACTTTAGCCATAAACAATGATCGTATCCAGTGCTGAGGTAGTTGGAGAGACAGCAGCTGAAAAGAAAGCCACAACACAATTTATAAAAATATAATTTTTAAGGACTTATACTTAAAAGGTCAAAGAAATTAAAGACATGAAAAATGTGCATAGATTTTATGTTGGAATAAAAAAAACTGATGAGTTAGAAAACATTTTAACATACACTTTTACAAATCTTTGGTCTGATTGTGTTCACCTCTAATCTTACCTGTCCCAATCTGCATCACATTTTCTATGTAGACATATTTCTTTCTTTAATAAATTAATCTTTTATTTACATGAATTCCAGCCATTTGATCTATGACTATTATCTTAAAATGACTTACTGATTCTTTGTCAGCAATATGCCTTGCAAGTTCCATCCAAGCTGCCCAGTTTAAAGGTTCTTTAGTAACAGACTCCACAAATATTTCTATTGCCATATAATGAAGGTCTAATTTTGCCAAAACAACTCCATACCTATACAAATTGGTAAAAAATAACAAGTGTTATTGAAAATGGAAAGCAATATTTCATTTGAGTCAGATATCTTGATTCAAAATTTTATTCTGCATAGCTTTCATCATGTGTTTGAACAAGAACTTGTATCTATGTGATATTTTTTACTAAAGGAATGTAATTTTTGTTTACATAAGCAAATATAAAACCAATACGGTATGCCGAGTTGAACTGAAAGAAGAATCAATTTTTTAAAATTATACTCACAAATACAACCCAAAACCATCTAGTTCTTTTTTGCTGTGCTTTTCAGACAACTCAGACTGAAGAATTTTCAATATCTCATTATCAAATACTTCAGATTGTGCTGCAAGAACAAAAATGAATCAGTTAACATAAAACACATATAAATATATTCAAAAGTAAGTTCATTTGGAATACAGTGACACTTTGTTCTGCTATCCTGCTAAATTTCCTTGAATTCAGATGTTTTCAGGTGGATGTTTCACAACCAATTTGTCAGCAAAAGTAGGATTCCTCCATTTCAGCAACTAATTTCTGTAAGTTTGTTTAGTTAGGGGAATTTCCCCATTACATATAAAATAAAACGCTTTCAGTGTTATTAGTGTCTCACATCTTTTGTACTATAATAAAGCATAATTTTTAAAGCATGTTCAAATTAAAATGAGATCAAAATTACTATCTAAAATAAAAATGTAATAAATAGTTTATTTACCATTAGAATCAGGCATGTTGTCAGCTTTTCTTTTTTGATCAGACATATAAAGTGAATATAGACGAAGGAAATAAGGTTTCGGACTGTTGCATTCACGCAGTACATGTACAGCTCTGTCAAACTCTTTGACATCAAAATAGCTTTTAGCAAGGACATAACTGTCATAATCTGTCCAAAATTCCTGTTACAAGTAATAAATAAGCTTTTTAATAATGGAAAGTGATGCTATCTATTTTTGAAAATGACATCAATTAACATAATATTTTTGGACATAAAGCAAATTTTTATGCACACACAGAGGGCATTGAAATTTAGATGAAATTTAATAGAGTTGGTTGAAGGGGATGGGGGGGAGGGGGGGGGTTATATTTTACAATTAAAAAATATTATGTTTGCAATATTTGCACAAAAACAAACTTGTTTATTTTATTTATATAATATTGTGGTAGATCCAAGATTTCCAAATTTTATTCAAACTACTGATACTTATACTCCAAACCCAGACTTTTTTTATATGCCTCTATTTCACTTATGCCATTGCATTAATCCCGCTACGACACTAGTTGTATTTTTTTTTAGATAAAAAGCTTTGCATTGACCAAACAATTACACATTAACTTTAAGGTTAACATGAATAACTTACATCAGGTTCATCAACTTGTTGTAGTGATCTAGAATCCACTTTTACAACTAAAGCTCTTGACATCTCTGCAGACCTGATCGGAATGAAAATTTCAAGTTCATTAGTTAGATAATCTAATTTCAATTTTCTCAGGCCCATTGATGAATTGTGATATGATGAATTATTGTTTTTTTTAAAAAAGGTTAGAAAATATAACAGTTTTTTAGAAATGCCTTAACAAAAAAAAAATTGTCATTAATGGCTATAAATATAATGCAACAAATGCTAACCAAACCTAAAAGTAAAATACATCTTGTAAATTTAATTTAACTTAACGCTTTTAAGTGACGCAGGCCATGCAGTTTGTTGCATGAAAAAAAATATTAAATAAAGGTCGCAAGCATCACTCTTTGATGTTTTTGGAATCCTACTACGTCTTTTTTCTTTTGACCGGGCCCGTCTTTTGCATGGCCAGCTGTTTTGTGCTGTTTCTCTGGTCAGCTGTTTATGCCACCACACTGAAATTCTGATGATGTCATTCTTTGATATATTGACATAATGCCATCATGTGTCGGTGATCAACTTGTACCGCATGCAATGGGGGAGGGAGGGAGGCCGGGGGGTAATATCGAGTATAGTGTTACAACTATCAGCTAAAGATTGTCAATCTACTAAATTTTGTTGATGGGCCACAACAGAGTGTTCATAGATTCCCTGTCTGATTTGGTATATGTTTGCATAAACAAGCCTTCTGTCCGATACAATACACAAGGCTGTAAGGCTATATCTTTCTATGCACTCCTGTAACGTGATCACACGTTGGTATGGCACTTAAATGACAACAAGAAAACAGTGCCAACTCTCTCTTTATATGGCATTGAAAACCCTGTAACCTCCTCTCCACTGTACTATTAATGGACATAATTAAAAGAGTAAGCATTTAATTAGCGCTTCAAACCGGAACATGACTTTTTAAAATAAAAATGTCACTGTTCTTTCTCATCTTTTTTCTGAGGCTGCATGCAACACAGAACTGGGTCCTGGGCCACCCTTTCACTCTGGGAATATGTGCACCTCAAAGTCTTTTCCGTAGCCTGGTACAGGAAGGTATTGCTATAAGTTATACCGGATGTAACTATTGTTTCATAAGTCTTTGTTATAAATTGAATGGTAGTATCTTCTCTGTTTATGGGTTTTTGTACAATGTCATCTCTTTTACTGAATCCAGCAACTGCCTGTTCCTAGCTATCAGTGGCTATTTCTTGGACACAATGGGAGTCGCTTAGTCACTTCCTTGTTTGGTCACGTGATGTGAGTAAGCCATCACTAGGCTGCTACACACAACAAAAGATACTTCATCAGTGCTTCCCCAATGTCGTGTTACTAAAAATTTTACCTTTCGAAATATTCTGGAATACATGCGTTTTTTAAATGAAATACATAAATGTGACAATAAATATACTTCAGTTATGATTAAAGGAAGAAAGTTATTTCAAGAACAATTTGTGAGCGATATTCGATGGGAACTATCAATACTATTATCGGCAGGATGTTGTTGAGCTCCGTGCGTGCTCATGACGTCATTTGCGTTTTTATTCAATATTGATGCAGGAGTCATTCCCCTTTGTTTATTTTATTGTTAATTTTCATTGGACGAAATGTAGTGTAGTTGTAGTGTGTATCGGGCTACTGTTGTCAAGCACTAGTGTGTTGTATACAGCCTACCGGAAGTCTTACTTGTTTTTACTCACATCACGTGACAAATCAATCGACTAAGCGACTCTCATTGACAATTGGTTGACGAAGACGAAGGCAGTTCAATGCACTCACTCTCAGTACGGCATATTATAGAAAATGAGAAGTCAATCTTTTTTTGTTACCCTTGAGCCCACAGATATTTCTCAAAATAACTGGTTTAAAAAAAATGCACCCAGTTTACAAGTGACTAACTTAGACTTAGATGTTAAATTTAAATTAATGAAATTTAATGATCACTTGTCAATGGCGTATAATTTATAGCGCTAAAATATGAGATTATCCAATTTTCATATTGATTATATCCAAAGTCTTACCATTTTGCTGCATGTACTAGTCTTCTTTCATAACATTCTCTTTGTGCAATAATTAAATCAGACTTCACCTGCTTCAAATCAAGGGATGGTACATCCACCATTTTTGATTTAGCGGTTGAAAAAGGGACTGCTAGTTGTTGATATTCCCTACATTTTAAAACCCATAAAAGCCTAAGTGAAACAATAAAAAAAATTAAAAAATTATAAATAATGTTTTTATTATAAATAAAGTGTTTTTAAAAGATTTTTATATAAATAAAACATGTACTTCAGTAATAATAATAATAATTCACAATTAGTAGATCCCGGTTTAGGAAGTTCACTTTGCGCATGCGTGATTTGGCGTTCTCAGCAACAGAAACATTCCTTTATGAACTTTATATTTGAAAACATTAGCAAAAGAGCTAAAGAGAAACAAACAAAAAATGTACCGTAAAGAAAAACCAATTACACTAAAGGGATCGACTTCAGCTCTTTGCAACAATCTCTCAGTGTTTCTTATGCCAGATAGGAAGCAAATTAGCTACGCTGTTGTGCACAGAGCCTTAGTCAATATAGCTTGTGCGTCAACTGACGGAACATCAGTGGTCGGACGTCAAGTTATATGCAAAGAGCCGTCAGCAACTCAAGGTCTTCCTTTTGTTTTACAGGTACTTTAATTAAATGGGAATCGCGTTATTACGTGCTAAAATACTGCAAGTTTTTGGGGCTCACATTAATCCCCCAAATCTCCACCAACGTTTATTACACTTTCCCTTGCCTTACCACCCACTTCATGTGACCATTTGGTGTGGAGTGACATAACTTCAGCTCAAATTTGGCTACCTTAGCATGCACAGTGGGGGCTGCAAGAGCAGTGCCAACTCCATAAAATTGCTGGTTTGCACAGTGAGGAGATTTACTGACCGCCCATTTTCAAAAAATAGTGTGACTATTTTTGTTTGAGCTGCAATGGTGCATTGTAATCTCCCAAGTTTAATGTCTGAAATAAATAAATAATAATAATACAATTTTCACAGATAAAAAAAAATTATTTTTTTCAAATGGATTGGAAGGTTACTTTTTGTTCACCCTGTATTAAGTTAATATTAAGCTTTTGGCCTATGCAGCGTAGAGTGCCATCTTACCATTCAAATGACACTGGAACCTAGATGAAGTCAGTCTTCTATGTTTGAGATAATATCAACATGGAGAACTTCTGCCTATGGTGGACAATTCAATTCATTGTGACTTCACAGACAAGGTCCACTGTTCAATTTGGAGACTGCATGATAAGTTTCCTGGTCCATGTGAAAGGATCAAATGTTTTTAATTCAAGGGGGAACTAACCTCAGATTTTTCACTTAGTTATAATAGTAATTACTTACCTTTACACCACGTATCCCAAATAGTAGCCTCTAAAAGTGTTATTAACAATAAAATATATAACTAAATTACCTACAATTAATCACATTCACAAACAAATGTTCAAAGGACAAGACATATTTACATAATAATAATAGTTGGCACTTGGCAATAGATTAAGATTAATTATAATTGACCCTTTTGTCTTTGCATATCTGTGCAACCCTGTTTAATTTGTAGTTATTTGTTGTTATGTATTTCCAGTTCAGATGAATGGTTAATATTAATTAGTCTATTTGATAGTATTAATTAAGTTAATGCTATGCCATGCTATGCTATTTTACCAAACATCCTATTACACAAAAAAATTGTTAAATTTACTATGTAATTCTTGTTTCAAAATTATAGTCTAAATGGGTTTGTTTACCCTCAAGGACAGTTATAGTACTGACTTCATCTAGAGGCATACAAGTAAGAAATATTTTATTTTAAAGCGTTAATTAACTAGTCTGTGTTTTTAAGCACTGTTCACATCTTATTTAATGTTGTGAAAATTCATTGATTTTCCATTATGCAAGAGAGCTAGACACTGGTCATTTTTTAAACACATAGACATCACCAAATGAAAGAGTATCAGACATAGCAATGGGAGATTGTAATATCACCACTGGACTAACAATCCAGACAAATCTTTTATTTAATTATTTAAACATAATAAGGAATGTAAATAATTTTGTGTAAACTTTGTATTTTTCAGATTTTTGAGCCTGATGGTTCAGCATTAGTACATTGGCATTCTCTGAGTGATTCAAGTGGTAATGTAGATTTTATCAGAGCTTAGACTGGATATGTTAAAGAAATAATAGTTAAGGAATTAAAATTCTCCAGAAATGAGATATAAGACCACATTTTTCTGTTAGACATTTTACATCCCCTTATATTTAAGACAACTTCACTGGCTTCATTATGTCTTCGGTGGTAAGTCTTAATATAAATAAGGGGCATAATCTTTTCTTTATAAAGAAAAAGACTATAGTGTCTTTTAAATCCTTCTATAAGTGCATGCAGTAAAGAAAAGACACCAAAGCCTAGTATTAAAGTCCGAACAGGTATGAGTTGCATCATGAGATTAAAACACTATTGAGTTTGAAGTGGTCTAAGTATTCACAATGGGTATTTTTCTCAGCATGAGGAACAATGGTATCATCCAAAAGGTGAAGGCTAAGACTAGCTTAATCTGGACATTCTAACCTCACCACTTGGGCTCATTCACAAGATAATCATGAATTAATACATCATTTTATCCTGTTAGTTGAAGGAGAATATTGAAACCAAGTCTTTCAATTAGCAAGATGCATTGTCTGGTGGATAGATCCAGTTTGGGAAATACAATTTGAACCTATTTATTGCATAATAGTACAGCTGCAAAAATAGCCAGGGGCATACAATAATATCAGGAGCTTGCTACGAGTAAAGTACAAGAGGTTGTAACACATATTTGAAAATCTTCTGAAGCTTCCTGATATTTTTGGTTTACTTTTAACATAAAAAAAGTAATGTGTAAGAAAACAAACAATTTATCCCTTTTCAAATGTTCTTTATGTATTCTTTTTATAATTTCTGTTACTTTTTTATGATATTATACAACACATTTCCATTAGGGTTAACCACATTTTGTGAAAGATAGCAAATAGATCATATGTCATGCTGTAATTTTTTTATGTAGCTTTCATAAGAAAGCAAGTAAAATTCTCTACACTAAATAAAAATCATGAAATTCTACCACTAACTAAAATTAAATGAAGAAATGATTCATTAATAAGTTGCAAGATTTTGGTTTGTTTCTTGTACACAAAGCAAACCTAATCTCTGGTTCTAAATTTCATACTTCAGTATTTCTGATACTGCCTTTTCTTTTTTTTTTACTTTTTTAAAACAGATGAAATTTAGGCAGGAAATTTCATTATTAAAATGTAGTCACTAGACCAGTTTCTAATCCACAATAACATAAGCATGCACATTTATTCAAATGCTTACTTGCTTTTCACCACACTTCCTCTAGAGCTCCATTTTGCTACATTTGTCAGTTGACGATTGAGTTTTCCTGCACTGGTTCTAGAGGCATAACTGTCTTGATGTAAACAATACTAAAAAAAAAAGAAAAATTTGTTTTGGCTACATAACGTTACTCTTTTATGTATAATTGAAAGCTTATTATACTTTTTAACTTTACTGAGCAAAATTGTCAGGAAGTGACTTTTTGAGATCATTTTAATTAATGTGTCATACACTCTGAAATAATTTCTCCATATTTTGCAGATCAAGCTCACCTGGCTCGAGGTATTGCAGGAGTTGGAGAGCAATTTCTTTGTGTGGGTTAGTTAAACCATTATTACATGTTTGCTATAACATTTTATGGACCCTGCAGCTGGGTAATGAAATAGATTTTAAAATAACAATATTTTCACCAAATAATTAGATCAAACTTTCTTTTGACAGGCACTGAGAAAGGATCTATATTAGTGTTTAATCTGCCACCCAAAGGCCCAAATGTCACACTAGAGGATACACTAACAGGTAGAATATAAAAAAATATGTTAATTCTTTTAAGTGTTTATTGTTTATTTGGAGGATTGGATGTTCATTTTTTTTATAAAGTTATTGAGAAGATGTATTTAATTTGTAATTGAAAAAATCATTTTCTCCAGATTGAAACTAAAACAGGTGGAAAAAAAAAACAACAACTTGAGAGTAGAAATGATACTCATCTAAAACTCTGATGTTGTAACATTTAAGATATGTATTTTGCTATTTGGTGCGAGTTTTGCTGGATGCCATATATTTGTGAATATAGATATGTATTCTGTCATATCTTGTTTAACAAAAAAATACACATGAAATATACAAGTCTATGTTATCAGGTTTTTTTTGTCTTTGGTGACATAGAGGCAGAAGTCTTGCTACAACCAAAGCAACCTAGATAATTGTTTAAATGGAAATGTATAAGATTTTTATTGAAAATTTCCACCTATTTTACTTTGAAGAGTGTCTCCCCAGGTCATAAATCTCCTGTAACAGACCTTGCGTCAGAAAAAGACACACTCGTCAGTGCTGATGGGTTGGGATATATAATAGTGTGGAAGGCAAAGGGCTCGAGTTTTACTCAAGTTTCAAGTATGAGAGGGGATGGGTGAGTCAAGACGTATTAATATTGTCTTGATATAGAGTGGTTTAAAGTACGGTACTTGTTGTAACACTTTTTCAATGATTACTCTCTGAGTATGTAAATAATATTTAATAGTTAATGCACACAAAATACGCAGCTCCCTTTTCAAATCTAATTTAAAATAAATGTCTGCAGTTTATATTTTTTAGATGATTAAGTGGTGGTAAAATGATAATTTATGCTATAATTCAGTATCAGATTTTTATTAATTTAAACATTTGAAAAAAAATTTAATTGAAATATAATACTAATAATAGTGATGAAATTAAACTTATAATATGTACTATAATAAAGACTGCATGTTTTGTTTTAAAATTTTAATTCATGAGCCAAAAGATGGTTCTTATTTGAGCTCAGTAAGTTTTTGGCTCTATCAGTTGAATAGTTTATAGTCTTGGCGGCTTCAACTGGTTTCTAACAGTGATAAAATATTAAAACTTATCTGACATTTTATTTATTTGAATTATTATGTTATAACAATAAGTTTAATCATCCAAACAGATGGGCTTGCAACAGTTTAGCAATATGGAAAGGGATAGTTGTTGGTGGCTATGCTTCGGGTCACCTTCGGGTGTACAACGGCAACACTGGTGTTATTGGTGCTGAGGTCGCAGCTCACGCTAGGGCCATAAATGCCATTGATGTTTCCAGGGAGAGTGGAATGGTGGGTAATTCAATGTACAGGACATATACAATTTCAGTTTTCAGAAAAATTCACTTATAGTGGGATTTTTTTAAATGGAAAATATAAAGACAGTTGGAGCGTTTACCGAAATAACAAGGAAAACTGCAGTTATAGTTCCTGTCTTAGTTGAAGGTATTATGTGTTTATGTCCCTTTGGCTACCCAACAAAACCTTTCATAGCTAGTCTTATACTTAAACTTAAAGTATGATCTTATGAGGTTGAAAAACATACTGACTTTTAGAGTTACCATAGAAACTGGAGTTAATTTAAACATCTTAGTAGGCTAAATAAAAAAAAACACTGTTGCAGTTCACATCTTATTTAATGTTGTTCACTAAAAAACTTTCACAAAGTATAACTCATCATCGCTATGATTCTGTTATTAATATTATCAACTTTGCAGCTGATCTCAGTTAGTGATGACACTTTCTTCAGATTATGGCAGCTAAGACCAATGAATGTACCACAGGTAAAGATAACTTTATTGATTTTTTTCCTTATAATTAATTCAAGTATCATATTGTGTTTCCTAGTGCGATTCACTTTTGCCTTATTTAAATTGAATGAATTTACTTGTTATATTTCCTTCAACCTGAAGATAAACGCTCAAGACATATTATTGACAGACATGAAGACACATAACCTATAGTGAATTTAAGTAAGTCTTATGCAATCTGTGCCCCCCCCCCCCCCTTTTCCTCACTTGTAAAACATGCTCAAACGTCATCTCAAAGCCCCTCACTTAATTTGATACTATGACCCCTACCTGAAAAAAATTTAAGTAAGTCTTATGCCATCTGTGCCCCCCCCCCCCCCTTTTCCTCACTTGTAAAACATGCTCAAACGTCATCTCAAAGCCCCTCACTTAATTTGATACTATGACCCCTACCTGAAAATTGATGGGTTTTGACTAACATAATCAATATCTTTAAATTCTTACAATATCATTATGAGTAATTTCTTTGATTGCTAACATGGCAGATTGAGTTTCGTCACAGTGAGTGTGTGTCAGACTTACAACTCGTTGGAGGTCAGTTTGTTGACGACCAAGGGAGAGTGCTGTGCGTCACTGGGTATGATAGCGCTGATATCAATTTCTATATCAGAGCCTGAGAAAGTTGACCACACTGAATGCTGAGTTGGAAATCAACAGTCTCTTCAAGTCCAATGATTTAAATACTTGCAGTTTTATCATTCCTATTTAATGATTAATGAGATTTATCCTGGAAAGAACAGCAATCCTGTGATAAGAGTGAGTTTAATAACGAGAAAGTGAGATAGTATGGGTCATAATTTGCAAATAAATATATGATAATCATGAATTTATATGTCAATAAGTATGACATTTAGCAAGAGCCTATATAAATAAATAATGTATATGTAAGTTTAAGCTGCACTGTAAATCAAAACATTTTCAAAAAATTACAATAAGTTCTGCAGTCCATAGATTTATAAATATGTTCACATTTTTTATTCTTCACTCATTGCACAATGTATTAAAAAGTTTGTGTCTGTGGGGGGTTGGTGGGGGGGGGGGGAAGAATGCTGTATGTCTTAAAGTTAATTATTGAAATGAATTTATTTTCATCAAAATGAGAATATTTTACAATATGTGACAGGAGACTTTTCTTGCCCATGTTTAATTAATTAACTTACAGTGTAGAGAGGCTACACATTAGCTTACAATGTGATGAGGCTACAAATTAGCTTACAATGTAATGAGGCTACAAATTAGCTTACAATGTGATGAGGCTACAAATTAGCTTACAATGTGATGAGGTGCCAAATTAGCTTACAAAGTTATGAGGTGACAACTTAATTTCTCTAGAACTGTCTCTAGTCATTTTTTTTTTACATTTTGGTAAAGTTTTATTCCCAGCCAACACATTATCATTGCCTTCATTTGGAACATTCCTTAACGTCCAATGCTTTCACTTCAAAACAAAACAACAAAAATTGAAGAAAGAATTTTTGTGGCTTAACACTAAAAGTCAACCCCCTGGAAATTTGGTCAGATCCTCAATTTGTATTGCAGGTGACAGTCAAGCTTGACATTCTGGTAATCCAAGCTCCTAGGTTTGTTTGCTTGAAGGGTTAGGCAGGTGTTATCAAATTGTTATTGATGGCTCTGTGTCATCTCCAATGTACGTCTTGCCATGCACTGCCCCAGACACGACACTTAATTTACCTGTGTTAAGAAAAAAGATTATCTCAGTTCATTAATATATTGGATATAAAGGGAAATTGAAATATTTCCTTGCACGTCATTGAACATTGTCTTCTGCAGGCTCTCTGGTGTCCATCTTTCTAATAACTTAATGCCAACGTGTTTTATTTTACCTGTAAGTGTACAGTATTTTATCACTACAGGAAATTGACAAACCATTCATTACCAGGTCATTTAACTAGCTACCTGTAGGTAAGAGACATATATGTTAGTGTTGATCATTTACAGATTATGCTCATTGGAAAAATGCAGCAAATCAGTTCAACCCTGATACTTCTTTCAATAATTTATAGATAATGTTTGGCAAGATCTTTGTTATATTTTGGGGGGATGAAATAGCCTTAATTTGACCAAACTCATTGAATTCCCCAAATGAAATACATGTACCATGGCACTCCTCTAAAGAAGCAAGACTATCCAGCAAAGAAAATATACTCTATAAATTAAAATTTATATTTCCTAAAAAAATAAATGATAAAAATATTGCAGTTTTATTTCATGCACAAAGATTGCAACAGACATTGCCAGGAGACATAGTATTTAGGCATCTTGTTCACAATTTGTTTGGCATGCATATACAGTCAGCAAATACAGTTAACCTTTGATTTTGTTCATATTTCAATTGTGAATTGTTATGCCACGCTAGTCATGATAGACAAAGAATGATCTAGGCTAGTAGTCTCCATTTTTTACCAGATCACAAATACCCTGGTGCATTTCATTATAGAGCCAATCAAATATCCCATTGTGCACTTCATTATATAACCAATCAAATATCCCACCGTGCACTTCATTATGTAGCCAGATCTCTCGTCAGCCAAACTCTGCTGTCACACAGTTATTAAAATATGGAATCAATTTCGAGACAATGACGTGGGGGTACATTTAATTATCTTCACCCTTTACTTATCTTCACCCCTTACTTGGGCTAAGAATACCTTCATACCTCACCACTTACTGGGGCCGAGAGCACCTTCATACCCCAGCACTTACTGGGGCTGAGAGTACCTTCATACCTCACCACTTACTGGGGCTGAGAGTACCTTCATACCTCACACCTTACTGGGGCTGAGAGTACCTTCATATCTCACCACTTACTTCTTTCTGGGACTGGGAGCAACTCCATAAACTTACTTCTTTCCGGGACTGGGAGCACTTCCATACGCTCACCACTTAATTGGGACTGGGAGCACTTCCATACTCTCACCACTTAATTGGGACTGGGAGCACTTCCATACTCTCACCACTTACTTGGGACTGGGAGCACCTTTTCGAGTTAAACCTCTGACTGCATTCATTGGCTTTTATTCGCCGTGTGACTGTGCTTAGTGTGGTGTGTCCCCAGCTGTAGACACCATTAACGTCCCGTGTCATTGTGTCAGCAATCACCTGGTAGGTGTTTATAGATTCCATTCAGTGTTGTATATTTATGTTGACAAACGTGATATTATACAGACCCCCGACCAATTCACTCGCCTCACGATCTATTCATTGGCGGCAACAATCAAGTTGAACCAATCCTATCACCACACCTAATGACAGTGATGATCAATTCTGATTGTTTCATTTTATTGTACACTTATTTTCATTGCTGTATAAATTTGTTGTTTTTCCCGCTTGTATTGATTTGTTGTTTGTATGATGAATAATATCATAATCTATTGTTTACAAAAGGAAGATTTAATAAAACTTGTTTTTAGCAAATTTTTAATTTCAATGCCGTCCAGTGTTACATTTTTCTTCTTCTTTTAGTACCGGTATTTTTAGAAATTAAAATTGAACATATTGAATTAAAAAAACATTCTGTTTATTTTCATTCGTTTTTTTTCCAATGAGGTTCGTAAATGTGTGTAAGTATGACTAGTGGTGAGGGTATGGCAGTGCTCCCAGTTCGGCAACCAACGGAAATGCGTCTTATAAAGTAGACTTGTACTTAGCAATTAGCAAGCAAAATGTGTTAGAAATCCTACGTTGTCGCAATGTTACCAAACGGTCAACGAGCCAAGCCTTAAATAAACTCTAAAGTGAACGTTTCTCCGTGGCACAGAGAAATACCGGTAGCGAAATTTAGAACTAGTTCAGTACACATTCTCGGGTGATAACACATACACTTAAACAAAAATAAACTCAAATCCAAATATAACTCTTGAATATTTATATATATATATATATATATATATATATATATATATATATATATAGAGAGAGAGATGCGCGTCTCTTTTGTGAGACTCACAGTACTGACAGTGACACTTGATTGACGAAGGTGATCGAGGATGCCCACCGAACGCTACCTATAGAGAAAGTGCTGGAGGGGTCGAGGGAATTTTAAAAAATCTAAATTTCAAATCCACGGATACATTTAGGCGCATACCTTAATTTAGTTTTGCAGCATTCTACACTTATTCTGAGGACAACAGAATAAATGCAAGTGAAATTTAGGTTACCTGAACCTAGCTTTTATTTATGCAAATACTTTTATTTTAGTAGTTACCAAATAGTAAGATTGGTTTTTAAATTTGTATTTAGGATTTGAGATGACTAATTTAAATATATTTTTTTAAAAGCAGTCCATGAGGTGGACCGCCTGTACACTGAAAAGGCGCATACTCATACAGTCACAAAAATGTGATTGTATAGGCCCTATATATTTCAGATGTGTGTTTATGCCAAGAATGAAAATAATTGCCAATGGGAGGGAGAAATCAGTTCAGTTGTGCACCCGGCGGGCCACAATTAACATCCGGTGAGCCATAATTAACCTTCGGTTGGCCACACTATTTATCTTTGAGGGTCGCATCTTGCCCGCGGGCTGGCCATCCCTGCACCAGAGTTTCTAGCTGTAGCTAAAGGATACAATTTTTAATGAAAAGGTAGCTATCGTAATTCAAATCTCATCTGCATAATTAATGCAAATATATAATATATATATATATATATATATATTATTGTATTTCTTTCTCCAGAGTTAATTTAAATGAAGCTCAATTTCTATTTTGAAATAAGATAATCCCCTATATCGGTAGTTTAAATAATATATTAAAAATGACAAAAACAATGATGGTCCCTTTGAAGGAAATAAATAATGCAATTTTTTTTTTTTTAGTGGGGATTTTTAAAATAATCAACTTTACAAACTGAATTCCTTCTGCATTGATCATCTCGTGTTGAAACCAGCCAATTTGACAGCTCATCTTGCCATAATTCTTTGAAGAGCCTCCGATTTTCAGGTGGGGATGGTTTAGCTGTGACAGCGATGATTGACAAGGTATGGAAGGACTGGACTCGACTGCTTTGTCTGCTGGTGACGAGCGGGTCACGGACGTGACGGAGTATTCATTTTGTGGGTCCTGTCCCTCGGCTTTGATCTTCTCCATACATTCCTTGTCTATCACAAAAAAGGGGCTAATGTTTATTTGGGGTGTTGATTACTCATACGCTGGGACTCTTTCTTTAACAGGAGTAGAAATAGGAATAAAAATTCAGGACACATTTTAAAAGAAAATTGTCGTCTCGGTTTAAGCTGGATTTGTAATGCTTTTCGAATTGTATTGAAGAGCGTGGCACCGTATAATTTATAATAATTCGGGGGATGATTCTTGAAGACAAGACAAATGAACGTTAAAATTGTGCTGGTTTAAGGGGGAAAAAAAGATAGAATGCCTGTTTTAAAAATGTTAGAGTAAGTGGATGTCTTATTATTTTATTTTTTTTTTAATCCCGTTGCTAAAAAGGGGTCTACCAGACAAAAAAGTGACAGTGTAAATGGACAGTCTAAATATACCATGTCTATTATGCTACCTATTCCTTTAAAGATAGATCAAATGAATTAATAAAGGCCTACCAATTTTAAAAAAAATCTTTTGACGTTTTCTCCTTTCAAATTAAAGACTTTCTGTTAATCAAGCGTTATTTTTGTAGGCGTAAATTGGCGCAGGGGTGGGGGGAGATATGTCGTGCTACCATACATTTTGTGATGAAACCTTGGATGCATTTCCGTATGTCTAAAAAAAGAGACTCAGATCGCCCTTTAGGTGTGCTAGTAGCACCGAACGAACGTTTCATCAAACGGTGAATGTGTCACCAGCAAGAACTTTCGGTAAACTCTTGGCGTTTGAATTATTTACTTTCTACTCCGAAACATTTCTATAAACATTTCTATAAGCATTTCTATAAACATTTCTATAAACTTTTCTACAAACATTTCTATAAACATTTCTAAAAAATTTTCTATAAACATTTCTATAAAATTTCTATAAGCATTTATATAAACATTTTTATAAACTTTTCTATATAACATTTCTATAAACTTTTCTATAAAATTTTCTATAAACATTTCTATAAACATTTCTATAAACTTTTCTATAAACTTTTCTATAAACATTTATATAAACATTTCTATAAACTTTTCAATAAACATTTCTATAAAAAATTCTATAAACTTTTCTATAAACATTTCTATAAACATTTCTATAAATTTTTCTATTAACATTTCTATAAACATTTCTATAAACTTTTCTATAAACATGTCTATAAACATTTCTATAAACATTTCTATAAACATTTCTATAAACTTTTCTATAAACTTTTCTATAATTATTTCTATAAACATTTCTATAAACTTTTCTATAAACATTTCTGTAAACTTTTCTATAAGCATTTCTATAAACATTTCTATAAGCATTTCTTTAAGCATTTCTATAAACATTTCTATAAGCATTTATATAAACATTTCTATAAACATTTCTATAAAACTTTTCTTTAAACATTTCTATAAACATTTATATAAACTTTTCTATACACGTTTCTATAAACATTTCTATACGCTTTTCTATAAACATTTCTATTAGCATTTCTATAAACATTTCTATAAGCCTTTCTATAAACATTTCTATAAGCATTTCTATAAACATTTCTATAAACTTTTCTATAAACATTTCTGTAAACTTTTCTATAAGCATTTCTATAAACATTTCTATAAGCATTTCTTTAAGCATTTCTATAAACATTTCTATAAGCATTTATATAAACATTTCTATAAACATTTCTATAAAACTTTTCTTTAAACATTTCTATAAACATTTATATAAACTTTTCTATACACGTTTCTATAAACATTTCTATACGCTTTTCTATAAACATTTCTATTAGCATTTCTATAAACATTTCTATAAGCCTTTCTATAAACATTTCTATAAGCATTTCTATAAACATTTATATAAACTTTTCTATACACGTTTCTATAAACATTTCTATAAACTTTTCTATAAACTTTTCTATAAACATTTCTATAAACATTTCTATAAACTTTTCTATCAACATTTCTATAAACTTTTCTATAAGCATTTCGAAAAACATTTCTATAAACTTTTCTTTAAGCATTTCTACAAAAAATTTGTATAAACTTTTCTATACACGTTTCTATAAACATTTCTATAAGCTTTTCTATAAACATTTCTATTAACATTTCTATAAACATTTCTATAAGCCTTTCTATGAACATTTCTATAAGCATTTCTGTAAACATTTCTATAAACTTTTGTATAAACTGCCTTAAACAATTCCAGTCATTTTTTTATATTGAAGTTAATTAATCACACACGTATTCATACTTATTCGAGATTTCCATTGACTAAAATTCTGGTTAAGTATAATCTACTTATTGGTACTCGCAAATATTAAAACAAGTAAAACCATAAACTCGAAACACTATTTTTTTTAAATGTGAAATTAACCCTATACATGAAATTTTGCACAATTGAAATTTCCAAACTTATATTTACTTCATGTTTGACTCAATATCCGCATTGAAAAAAAAAAAAATTACACGTTAACCAACAATTCTTAGTGCGAATTCCTTAAAGCTGAGCTTTCGTATTCGGTCGACATTAATGAGATGAGGCTGAGTCTCTGCTTTCCCATGGTACTTCTAAGCTTAATGAGATGAAGCCGAGTCTCTGCTTTCACATGGTACCTCTAAGCTTAATGAGATGAGGCCGAGTCTCTGCCTTCCCATGGTACTTCTAAGCTTAATGAGATGAGGCCGAGTCTCTGCTGTCCCATGGTACTTCTAAGCGCGTTAAAAGCAATCCTTTGAACTTAGAAGACTCGTCACTGGATGTCATGGAGACATGTGCAGCGCGTTCAGACCTCTGAGAAAAAGTTTACCTTATATACATTTACTTGACCTAGTTCAAAGGCAACATTATTCTCTCGGGCACTTGGCCACTGAAATTTTGAAGAGTGAAACCAAAATATATTAGGATAATATTCTTAAGAAATACCAATAAAATTCTTCCAAATTTTATTTATGAGGCTGTTTCCCGCCTTTTGATATCGTATGCTAAGATCATTCACGGTTAAACAAAAACACTGAAAAAAAAAATTGACCCAACACAGAAAAGGCTAAGAAAAATATTTAGGATTTATTGTTGACGAAAGATAAGGAAAGATAAGATATTATGCTTTTATTGATCCGAATCGGTGGACATTTCTTTTGATGACATTGCATACTATATTGCTTTCTGTTCTGACAGTATTTGTAGGATTTGTTTTAAACTGATCGGCACCTGGAGCAATGCTTGAGGTGAACCATCGTCACTTATGTTGTCAGACTCTTCGAGACGTTAGAGATGAATGATTGCGTGATCAGATTCACCATGTAATGTGTAGGCTCTACAATCTTAGTAGATTCTGTGAACAGAGTTTGGGCTCGTTGTTCGAACGGAAATTTGTTGGGTTTTTTTTGGTCAAGATAAT